GTGCAACCAAAAGTTGCCCGTTGGTTAGTACTGATCACAACGTACATTTATTCAACAAACTTCGTTTCTCCTTTCCATCTTCATTCGAAGTTCGTTYGTTTGRTCGTCCGTGTATTTAAATGGATCAGACAACCGAATACCCAGAGTACCTTTTGGTCGGCATTCTCATTCAGTTCGCTCCGACAACGTTTTTAAACTAGCTCTATATAGTCATATATAATAAGTTASGAGTAWRGCAATATGCAGAAACTATGATYWTTTTGATTCATATTACAAGTACAGTATATATRAAATATATCATAAATTATATTTTGATTTTGTTTTCAGGAAATACTAGAGCTAGGTAAATTCAAAAAATCTTGGCGATAATATCCCATAATTTCTTATAAATTTTATATATACTTGGAATATGAGTCAAASTGATCATAKTTTCTGAATATTACTGTATATGCGATACATGTAAATCCCTTGAATAATATYATAGTGTTAGAATGAGGGGTGTTTTTTTTTCGTGCACCTTTAAAGTATTGCATGAGTTGTTTTGTAGTATTTATACTATATTTTGTACTTTACTTACAAATATTGAGACAGTCCCTGCGGTGTGTCCGTRGACCTCCACGCCAAGGAACACGGCATCGTTGATAAAAACAGACGATGGAATCAAGAAGACTCCAGAATCATAAAGCGAGGAAATGCTTGTTAAAGTCCACTGAGGAATAGGAGGCCCGACGCCTTGGTATATTGGATCTAGAATCGTAATGACACATCACACTTAAAGACTGCATGCTCAATCAACTGTAAGATTTAAAGTAGTTCATKGTGTGTTTTGTTTCGACGAGATGCGAAGTCTGGCAGAGCTACACAGCATGCTCATCATGATGCAAAGCATATCGCAAATGTATATCAAATCATCGCGAAAACCGAGTTCAACTAGAAAAAAGGCGAAAAGAATTKAAGATGASMAARATTGGGGGACTGAGAAATCTGAAGTTCRAAAATCTTTTATCAAAAGTAAAG